TTTGTGAGGATCCAGAGTCTATTTGCAAATATTTGGAAATATGTGATATGAGGACTAAAAGGCTTGAAACAGAATGACAATCAGCCACTTGGCGAACCTGGTTCTGTTTACACGTCTCTGAGGAGCTAGACCAAGCGTGTCAAACTCATGGCCCACGGCCTGCGTGTGGCCCACAATGAATATTTTTGCGGCCCAGCCAATATAACGGTATGTAAGAAACGTTTTAATACAAATTTCGTGACTTAATTTTTACAATATCCTGTTATACATATCATTAGTCTTGGACTAACTTGTTTGGTGTGCGTAACAGGAAATATTTTGCTTTTGGAGAAGAAGAAAAATAGTCAAATGCATGAATAGTCAAAAGGCATGAATAGATAGAGAAGAGAAACAAACACTAGTTTATGTGCGCTACGCTTATTAATTTGTGCAGTTATTCAGTGTCTAGTAAGTTAATGTTCAAGAAAAAATATTAATTTTTATTTAAATGTTCTATTATTTTATGTTAATGATTACTCATTTATATCAGCCCTTTGTATTCAGCATGTCTCTGTCAAAATAAACCTACATTTCTATGAAAATTGAAGCTTTTGTTTTTTCGGCCCACATCAACTTAAACCTTGTTTATTTGGCCCATGTTAGCCTTTGAGTTTGACATGCTTGAGCTAGACCCATTTATAGGCTACAGGAGGTCCTACATCGTCATCAAATTGTCAGTAGGCAATCATTTGCCAACTGCATTAGACTTCTGTGTGTAACGCAAAGCTGTGAAGTCCAAACAATCATTGGTTTTAATGGCTTTGAAGAAGGCATAGCATTCTATCCAAATAAGATAAAAACCTTATAAAAATACACTAATTAGCTGACAACTGGTGTGTGGAGGGGTTGTGTGTTAGTTTTTCCTCTGATTTTTTTTGTGTGGTTTAATAGTTTATTAAATAATTATTGAGCACCTATTTATGATAGGTATTAATAGTTTAGTGATTAAGAGCATGGTCATGCAGTAAAGGGCCCACTATCAGCTATGCCATTTTTTTTTAATTTTGTTTTATTGCTTAAAGTATTACAAAGAGTATTACATATGTCTCCTTTTTTTCTTCCCCTTTGAACTTCCCCCAGCCTCCCCTATAAAAACTCTCAGCAAGGTGGGAGTAGAAGGATCATACCTCAACATAATAAAAGCCATATATGACAGGCCCACAGCCAACATCATACTCAATGGACAAAAACTAACACCATTTCCCCTAAGAACAGGAACAAGACAGGGATGCCCACTCTCGCCACTCCTCTTTAACATAGTCCTGGAAGTATTAGCCATTGCAATTAGGCAAGAAGAAGAAATAAAAGGCATCCAAATTGGAAAAGAGGAAGTAAAACTGTCCTTATTTGCAGACGACATGATATTATACATACAAAAACCTAGAGACTCCATCAAAAAACTACTAGACTTAATACATGAATTTGGCAAAGTAGCAGGATACAAAATTAATGCCAAGAAATCTGAGGCATTTCTATACACCAATAGTGAACTTTCAGAAAGAGAGATTATAAAAACAATCCCATTTACCATCGCACCAAAAAAATTAAGCTACCTAGGAATAAACTTAACTAAAGAGGTAAAAGACCTCTACTCAGAAAACTACAGGACGTTGAAAAAAGAGATAGAGGAAGACATAAACAGATGGAAGAACATACCGTGTTCATGGATTGGTAGAATCAACATCATTAAAATGTCCATACTACCCAAAGCAATCTATAAATTCAACGCACTTCCCATTAAAATACCAACGGCATACTTCACAGATCTAGAACGAACTCTCCAAAAATTCATCTGGAATAAAAAAAGACCCCGAATAGCTGCAGCAATCCTGAGAAAGAAGAAAATAGGTGGGATCTCAATACCAGATATCAAGATGTATTACAAAGCCACTGTTCTCAAAACTGCCTGGTACTGGCACAAGAACAGGCATATAGATCAATGGAATAGAATAGAGAACCCAGAAATCGGCCCGAACCAATATGCTCAATTAATATTTGACAAAGGAGGAAAGAACATTCAATGGAGCCAAGATAGTCTCTTCAATAAGTGGTGTTGGGAAAATTGGACAGATATATGCAAGAAAATGAAACTAGACCACCAACTTACACCATACACAAGAATAAACTCAAAATGGATAAAGGACTTAAATGTACGACAGGAAACCATAAAAATTCTAGAAGAATCCAAAGGCAACAAAATCTCAGACATATGCCAAAGCAATTTCTTCACTGATACAGCTCCTAGGGCAGTTGAAACTAAAGAGAAAATGAACAAATGGGACTACATCAAAATAAAAAGTTTCTGCACAGCAAAAGAAACCATCAACAAAACAACAAGAAAGCCCACTACATGGGAGAACATATTTGCCAACATTATATCTGATAAGGGCCTAATCTCCAACATTTATAGGGAACTCATACAACTTAACAAAAGGAAGATAAACAATCCAATCAAAAAATGGGCAAAGGATCTAAATAGACACCTTTCAAAAGAGGACATTCAGAAAGCCAAGAGACATATGAAAACATGCTCAAAGTCACTAATCATCCGAGAGATGCAAATCAAAACAACAATGAGGTACCATCTCACACCTGTCAGAATGGCTATCATCAACACATCAACAAACGACAAGTGCTGGAGAGGATGTGGAGAAAAAGGAACCCTCCTGCACTGCTGGTGGGAATGCAGACTGGTGCAGCCACTGTGGGAGACAGTTTTTCCTCTGACTTAAACAGCACCCTCACTTGCACATGTGGCCAGGAGCTCTGGGGCAGCGACACTCTATCAAGCAGCTTGTGTGTTGTCTCCACCTAATGGTCGTTCTCTATCATTACACTTCACTGGGGTCACTCTACTTACAATGCGTGCACAGGTGTAACGGTTGCACTGCTTTTGAAAGAAAACAGTTTTAAATATTCCTCAAGGACCTTTGCTGGCAGTATAGTGCATCCTCCTTCTGTAGCCCTCACACTTAATTAGAAAACTAAGAACCCGATGACAACCACAAAGCATCCACAGAGCATATCCTGAGTCCTTGTACCAAACGACCTCAGCCCAAAAAAAAATGCAAGGAAACGAGGGGAAAGGCCGAATGGAGAGGGAGAACTTGTTGTTTAGTGGCTAGAAAAAAACGCCTTCAAATTTCTGTGCACTTGCTTTTCTAGTTAAAAAATACGAAAGTTACTTTGAATGTGTAGGCCTCCTGAAGACTAATAAACCAAAATCATCCTTTTTCTGCAGGATGACTTTGCTTCGCTTGGGTTTTTCTCCATTCTTCTTTATGTATTCATAATTCAGTTTCCAGAAACTTCCTAGGTTGATAAAGCACGTGGGTTTTTTACATCATATTTTGATGCTGCACAGTCCATATTTGGGGACTTCCTCACAGTGCCACTGGGTCCACTAGCCGCTGAAGGCTAGACCAAAGCTGCAAGACCACCTATTCTGTAGGCCAGTGACGGCAGACCTGTGACACGCGTGTCAGAGGCGACACGCAAACTCATTTTTTTGGTTGATTTTTCTTTGTTAAATGGCATTTAAATATATAAAATAAATATCAAAAATATAAGTCTTTGTTTTACTATGGTGGCAAATATCAAAAAATTTCTATATGTGACACGGCACCAACAGAGAGGAAGGGAGAGAGATAGAGAGTCAGAAACATCGATGAGAGAGAAACATCGATCAGCTGCCTCCTGCACATCTCCCACTGGGGATGTGCCCGCAACCCAAGCACACGCCCTCGACCGGAATCGAACCTGGGACCCCTCAGTCCGCAGGCCGACGCTCCATCCACTGAGCCAAACCGGTTTCGGCGTTAGGGTTTTTCAAAATGCTGACACGCCGAGCTCAAAAGGTTCGCCATCACGGCTATAGGTTGACACTCAACCCCTGAGCCACGCCAGCCAGGCTATGGCTTTCACTTTTAATCTAGAAAACTGATGACAACCACAAAGCATCCACAGTGCGTACCTTGGGTCCTTGTACCAAATTATCTCAACCCAAAACAAGTGGGAAAGGCTGAGTGGGGCAGGGAACACCTATTGTTTAGTAGATTTCAATCATCTTCAAAGAAAATGAAATGTGAATAAATAAAAATACGCTCCTAGGATGTTCCTTTTACAATGACAGAAAGACAATATAAGAAAAAAGTAATCCAACTTAAATAAGTGGTCTGAAAAAAATAATAATAAATAAGGAAATCAGTGGCCTGGTTATTGTTGCTTGTTATTAGCACAAATACTTTCTTCACTTACAAATGTGAGAAACAGGAGGAAAACCAGTGCGTAGATAAACAAACCTATCTCCATCCCACCCTATCACAAAAGACTAAACGCCGGCCCAAAGAACAGCAGGAGCGTAAGGCCTATTTGTGCGTGCAGTTGCTATAAAATGACACATGCTTTTAGCGGGCCATAATTTAGTGAAGGACAAATGGAAATTAATTTTTAATTATAGGAATTTCTGTCTCTCTGACGTCTCTCATCTTATTTTTAGCAAAGGGAGAAATGCTTTCAAAGCTGTCTCCGTCAACTATCTGGAACAAAATGATCTTAATTTACTTCAAAATGCCTCCTTTAGTTACTAGGGTAACCAGAAAAGAGCTGTTTTCCAGAGTTCCTGGGATCCACACAGCTTCTGCCCCTGTAGAAATCAGCCTCGAATGACATAAGCAGGCTTAGCTGCAAAACCAGCGGCAGACTCAGGAGAAGTTTATGGCCACTCCACGTCAAATTGCCACGATCGATCGTCCATCGATCGTCCTTAAATCAGAAAATCGCCCTCAAGCGAGGAGGCGAGCTATTGCCACACGACAGGAGCAACGTTTGCGGCAAGAAAAATACAAGGACTAGCACATTCACCAAGAAGAGAGGGATGTCAACAAAATCGTCCAAAAAAGAAAAGCATCCATGACAAACCGGGGTGGGGCAGGTGAGCAGAGAAACACTGTCACACCTACCTGGCGAACAAGCCATCGGCCGGCCCAGCTCCGGCAACAGACACTCTGCCATCAGGAGACAAAATTACAGGACCGGCTTGGCACGAGCAGCCGTAGCTGCAAATCAATCAGCGGCAGGAGAAAAAGCAGCAGCCGTGCCCTTCAGCGCAAAAACGTGTGAAGGGCCCTGGGCTGCAAATTTATTTGTCCTCACTGTTATCCCCACACGTGTGGGTGATCGCGTTACAGCCGAGTAAGGCTTCCGAGATGACGCACACAGCAGTGTGTGATACAGAACATGACGTAACAAGACCATCAGTGTCATCTGAAAACACAGAGCAAATCATCAGTGAAACGGGAAACACCACCCCGATGCAGACAGAAGTTCTGCTGAGGATTCGGATGTGGCGACAGATACATGAGTTCAGGCAGATAGGAGAGACCAAAAGCTAAGAAACCGATGCTGCTCGGTCAAGGTCTCTGCTATTCATCTTTATTTGTGTGCTTGTTCTCTGGAAGGCGCTACGTTTCGAAAGCTAATTCTGAGACAAGTAGCAGAAGGCCCATACAAAGAATTACTCTTGGCATAGCACAAAGAGGAATTCTGAAATCATTTTTTCAGGGTATTAGTAAGAAGGTCTACTCATGCAGAGCAAAAAAAAAAAAGAAGAAGAGAGAAAATTAAGCAAAGGCCCAAAATGTTAGGCCCATGAAGGTATGCACGTGTTGTCTTGACAATGAACTTCATGTTGATATGGTAGGAAGAGGGATCCACGTACACCGAACTGTGTCAGATAGTCCAATTCCTCGGTGAGCCCCGGGTGTTCTGAGAGGTGGGCTAGCTTCGGGCCAAAGCGTTTGTTGAGTCTGGTTTGTGGCGAGACTGTTGAAGTGTTGCTTCATGACTTGGGTTTTCTAAAAGAAAGGGGGAAATGAAGGAGACAACTGTTAAAGGGAGACAGAGAATGTTTGGCACAATCTTCATTATCTATCATGTAAGGAAATATTTGCCTTTTATTCCATAACCCACTACTCATCCTTTGTTCCCAAGTGCAGATAGGAAATTATATGTTTCTCTTGGGAAATCAACCAGGTTTATATCTTCCTCTGTATGAGCACATATCAAACACCTTAAAGAAGGCGACAGCTTCAATGACGGTGTCCCGCTGTGTTTTCATGGAGAATGAATGGAGCGCCCGTGGTAGGGCAACCCACTTTGGGCCCCCTCCCTGCCTGCTGCAGGAAGTCCATCTAGCTCTCAATAAACGGTGTTTCCACTTACAACCAATCAATCAGTCAATCAACCAATAAGAAATGGCCCGAGGTAGATTCAAGCAGAGGTAAGTAGCGGCCTTCTCCAGGGGCACCAACTGAGCATCCATTTCAAAGACAAAATGAGGCCTCCCTCATAGTTCCATGCACTGCCATGCTCTCCCTGAAAACCACCTTTTCAAGGAAAAGGCCTGGACTATCCATGAGCTGTGAGATGGGCTTGTCTTTGGCAGCTGGATTGCGTTGCCAGGTTGCATTTTAAAAGAGGATGTTGAGTCTCTGCAGGGGTCAGGGGTAGGGGGCAGGGAGCTGCCTGACTCCCTCCTTCACTGTCAGGCACTTTGACCTCAGGACAGACCACTGAGGACTGGATTCCAACTAGAAGCCACCAGAAAAACTGGCCAAATGTGCTGCCACAGCTGCAGTTGCTCTCTTTTCAATCAGCCTATGAAGCCATCCACCTCCATGAAGGACTCTCAGCTGTGCCCGTTCACACTCGGTGTTTGTTTTATAGCTGCCACATGAACACTGCGTCATTCTTAAAGAACCTTACATCAGTGACTAGAAATGGATTTAAACAGTACATACGAGTCTTTTACTACGGGTTTGTTTGGTTTTTAAGTTTGGGGATATTTATGGGAGCTCGTTAAGGAGCTCGTTAACTCAAATTACTCTGTCAACTCAAAGCAAAAAATCCCCCGAGAGACAGCTGGTATCTCAAAAAACTCGTTAATCGGGACACTCGTAAGTCAAGGCCCCACTGTATTTTCCTTTCCAACCATTCTTCAGATGAACTTCTGAAAAGTAACCTTGCCGATATTCTTTTTCACAGAAATGGGTCCCAGCCCGTTCCTCAGAAATGGGATTAGGACACTAAGAAGACTGACAACAGATTTCTCAATAATAACCACAGATGGAGAATAAATAAAATAAAATAAAAGGGCTCGTGCCCAAAACGACAACATTAGGCCTTAAAGTAGAAATCCATGCGCCCAGAACATGAAAGAGCCCGCCTGGGAAAACATCCGATGATGGGCTACATTCGCTGTGCAATTTAAATAAATGAGTGATGAAACGTTCCTGGTCCAACAGTAAATTGTGATGGCTCCTCTCACCAGCTCTAAGATTCCCTCAAAATGGATTAAGCGCCAAGATTTTACAGCAGCTTTTCATGTCTAAGCGTAAGTATATTATGAGGGGAAATCTGTGCTATTCAAATTGGTCTTTGGCACACAGAGTGGAGTTATTTGTTAACGGATATTTACAAAGCACTGCGGATTTCTTGTTTCTTCTCCAACTGAACCTTCGTCCACCCTTCCCTAGACAGGCTCTGAGCTTTATCAGAGAGCCTTCTGAAGACCTACTGTGTGGCTGAGGGCTTCCTCCCTCACTCTCTCCTTCCCTGGAGCCCCTGACATCAACAGCCCCAAAATCTGTCTTACGTGTGTCAGTAGAGGCATAATATGGACATTAAGGAGACTTAAAAATATTCTTAATTTTAATGTAAATTTCAAAAGGAACTCTGATAGCACCAAAGCAAACTGCCACCTCAAATTGGTTGCAGGGTCAGATAATAATTACACATTTACATAGGGATTTGCTATATCACTTTTTAAACCAGATATTTTTATAGCACTTATGATCTTTAGGTGTGTTCACACATTCCTTCTTATCTGTACAGCCCACAATATTTGAGCATCTCCCCCATGTCTGATATCCACTGTCGTTAGATACTACCATTGTCTTGTGAATATATTTCTGTGGCACTTACCAAACTGTGAAGTGTTACAGAATTCTTTTCCGTGGTCAGTAGAAGCTTAAAACTACAAGGCAGCAAGCGCCCTTGTCAAAGATCCCCTGAAGCGACACCGCTGTGTTCCACGGTGTTTCTACATGAGTGCTCTGGTTAATATTTATAAGTGAATATGTGATATCCAGCTCTCATCACTAGATAGCTGCCAGCCATATTTGTTTTCATGAACAGCAGCTGGCTTTGTGGTTTTTTTAAAGTTACAATGTATTGCCATCATTACGGATCTCCATTGCCATTCCCCTATAAATATGTAAGTATTTTGGTCAGTAGAGTAGTCAGAGAAGGCCGGTAACAGGACACTGCCTGTACCTTCACGTAAATAAAGGTCATGCAGAGAAAGAGGAGGAAATAAGTACCAAACAAACTCTTCCTCAAAGGAACACTTTTTCCTGGAAGTCATCTCGACCGTAGGCTTCCCTGCCCGGTGCCCCGGTGCCCGAGCAGGGGGTCCGCGAGTTTACTAGCCCTGTGGCTCCGGAAGGGCAGCCCAGGCCTGGGGGCGAGAGGCATCGATCTGCACTAGAACCCGCTTCCATTACCACTAAGCGGAGCACAGAGAGCTACTCATGAACAAGTGTCACCCCGGAACGGCGCGGCTACCTGGGAACGTTGGAGAAATAAAGCACAAAAGGCCTAAGAATCTTCTCCTCCTTCTTCTTCTCCTGCTTCTTCTCCTGCTTCTTCTTCTCCTTTTTCAGCTTCCTCTCCCTCCGCGTCCCCTTCTGCTCCCTCCTCCGTTACCTCTCCTGCCTGTTTTTAACAAAAATCACCTGATTATTGAGAGGAGTAGATAGGGGTCAACAGACAGTGTTGCTCTCCTAAGGAAGCTGGTTGGGGAGCCTCCGGGTGGGAAGCCTGCGCTGGTGGGGAGGGGCCAGGGTGAGGACAGGGGTGGTGTGGGGGACGCCAAGGGCTGCCAGGGGAGGCCTGGGAGGCAGCTGGCCGTGGCGGCTGGGGATCAGGGCAGACCTGCTTCTCCGGGTCCTCGGGCTCCCCAGGGACCAGACTCGGAGCCCCTCGAGGACCTTGACCAACCTGCCCCCCGAGGATGCACCCTTCCTCCGACTGGTGGTGGGGAAGCCGAGTGGGGTGAGTATAGACCACAACCGGCCAAGGTCTGTAGAGATTGTGGAGAGGTTGGGTTGGCAGAGAACACAACCTAAAACCATGGACCTTGATGAGAACCACAGAAGCATGAAGCTGCCAGGGCTTCCCGAAGCTCTTGGGATGCCCAGGTCTGCAGGCCCTGCCCGAGAGAGTGCCCGGAAGCTGGGGGCCTTCTGCTTTCCTCCTTCACTCCTCGGGCACCATCCACACGCCCCGTTAGCCCTCCACCCTTCCCCTCCCCCCGCCCCGGTTGTCAGGGGCCCGGAAGTCCCTTCTGTGGGTCTGAAGCTGCAGCCCAGACCGTCTTCGGCGGGAGTTCATGGTCTTCTCAGCCCTCCCCGACCTGCCTCCCAAAAGCTGCCCGCCCGTCAGCAAGCAGCTGGCACCCATCTTGGCATCGTGACCAAGGAATAAGGCCCCTTGTTTGATAGGGAACCCACCTGAGCCTAACAACACCACAAACCGCAGAAGTCCTGTGGAGACTGCCTCCAGACCTGGGTTCAGGTCCTTCCTCCAACTTCCTCTTAGCCCCGTACCCACCCCCACCACAGCAGTTAACACGTCCGGTGAAAACTACCTGCTTCCTCCCTGGCGAGACTCCCGGCGCCACACCTCCATCCTCACCCCTATGCCCAGAGAGGCTCCTGCCCCTGGTAGGAGCTCACACGTGCTCGTGAACAGAGCTGCGGCCGGTGAGACTGCGGCGCAAAGGCGAACACTCACCTTCTCCGCTTGGGCTTCGGTGAGGTCGCCCTCATCTTCCTTGTCCTCTTTTGGTGCCTCATTTTCTCCACTTTCTCCAGCCTTCTCTGTCCCCTGGTCGTAAAGGAAGCCCACTGTGTCACTAACCCGAGACAAGCTCCCAGGAAACCCGGGCCGCATGTGCTGTGGGCTTTATCTGGATACGCAGCACACACACAAAGCAAATGCAGGCCTCCTGCTGATGAGGCCACTTGGCTCCCAGCCAGCCATTTCCCACCTTTTTCATCTCCTGGCCCGCATAACTCACTACTAAAATTCTGCAGCACACCAAAAAATGTTACATTTTTTGCCAATCTGACTTTTTTAATAGTATGATTTCGATTCATTCACACCAGACAGCTACTGTGTTGGCTGTTGTCATTTTTTGACTTGACAGTCCAAGGGGAAGAGGTCGGTGCCCCTGACTACACAGCCAGGTACTGCCTGTTTTACACGTTTGTGCAGCACAGCGGTTCGAATAGCTGTCCTAGGGCCGTGGTCGGCAAACCGCGGCTCACGAGCCACATGCGGCTCTTTGGCCCCTTGAGTGTGGCCAGGAAGTTTCAAACGCACTGTACGGGCGCGCCCGCACGTGGTATTTTGTGGAAGAGCCACACTCAAGGGGCCGCAGTTTGCCAACCACTGGTCTAGGGTATAGGATTGCCCCCCATGGAAACTGCTGATTGGAGCTCTGGGTGAGATTCAACAAGTCTGACTGGCGAGCATGATGGAGTAATCACCTCCCATGTGAGGAGTCTCCATTCAACACTGAAGGTTTACAGAGAGACGCCGAAGGGTTCCACGTCGAGGCAGTGTTTGTTTTCTGTTGTTCGTGTGGAAAGGAGGCTTTATCATACTAGAGATTCACAAAGATCAGATAGGTAGACAGACAGACACAGATAATGGGGGAATGGAAGGAAGGACAGAGGACAGACAGATGATAGCGAACGGACAGACAGACACAGAAAGATCAGGACCACGTTGGCATTCGAGGAGACTGGTCTTCGGGAAATGGTCCGAGATTCCACTCTTACCTCTGCGGGGCTCTGCGCCTCGCCCACGACCTCGCCATTGGGCAGGGACGGTTCTTCCTCGGGCGGCTTTGTCGCCTGCATCAGACGGATTGAAAGAGTGTGAGAATTTCTTTGAGGATATAATAGCTTGCATTTCAACATCATTTAACTATCCCAGTTATTTTGTCTCCATCCCTCATTTTATCTTTGCAACAGCGCTGTGACCTCAGTCAGTCGGACAGTCACTACCACTCACACCTTAGAGACAAGAAAATAAAGGCACATAAACAAAGCAAATAAATGTTTTGCCCTTTTTTTTTCATGAGACAAGTGTTATTTCCAAACCCTTAGGAAGGCATTACAATAATGAAGACAGAAACCCAAACCAAATCCTGAAGCAGAGGGAGACGGACCCGCAGGGTAGCCAGAAGAACCCCGCCAGTCAGGGGGGATGCAGGCGAGATGCATTCGAGGCAGGGACCTCCGCCTGGAGCCTGAGTCTGTATATTAGTGGGATGTTCTGGGGGAAGGAGGTTGGGGATCAGGCATCCTCACCCCAGCAGTCCCACTGTTGCCTGGGTGATTGGGAGGAAGAGAAGACCGCAGCGAGTGAACAAGGATGTCACTGAGTCTGACCTTGACATTTCCTTCCTGCTCGGATCCCCAACAGTCCATGAATAAGTTACCTGCATATCTCAGGGGTTGGCCTGGGGAAGCAAGCAAAATAGCCATGGCCTCTGAAAGAAGAGGCAGGGCAGCCTGGCACCGGGCACCAGGCACTGGGCACCCAGCGCTACAGGAGGACACAATCAGACTCTTGCTTGGGCCGCCGCTCTCCCGCCGGGTGTCCAAGTGGGGCTCCTCTCCCCTGTGATGACAGGGCCCATGCTGGCACAGGCTAGACCCCTTGTTGCTGTTGGTACCTCCTGCTGCAGTTGCTGGGCCAGCTCCAAGTCGCTAAGACCCGACATGCCCTGTGGCTGCTGCTGCTGCAGGGACAAGGCGGTCAGGTAGTCCTGGTCTACCTGCTGCTGCTTTTCTGGGGAGCCACTCCCACCTTCTGCTCCAGGCCCCTTGCCCAGGGAATGACCCAGGTGAAAAAGTCCACCCCGACAGCATTCTGTAAATGCCCTTATGCCCTGGTTATAAGGAACACAGATTCTTACTGAGCCAGGCAAATTACTGTATTGCCATAAATAGTGAAAAGACTCAATAAGACAATATTCCCCTGACTAAAATAAGGCATAAAAGACACTGATCCTAGTGCTTCTTCGCCTGACATTTGACAATGATGGTACAGGTTATCAATCAGAACTTCAGTTATTTGCTTTAAGTGTTAACTTGGTCATAACTTTACTCCTTTCATTTTGATCTCGCCAAAACTGACATGTAACCAAAAGTTTCGATGCTCGTTTTCTGGTAGAATTAGTGCTTCTGTTGACGACATCAACAGTATTCCAAACAAAAACAACCATCTTCCTTTGTCAATTCATTCAGTCCTGTGTAATTGATTCTTACTGTCTGTCAACAGTAATGAGACAAGTGTTATTGCATTTAGGGGGAAATCTCTTTATAGACTTACCTGGACAGCTTCCACTGGCATCTTAACAATATTCCCCTGACTAAAATAAGGCATAAAAGACACTGATCCTAGTGCTTCTTCGCCTGACATTTGACAATGATGGTACAGGTTATCAATCAGAACTTCAGTTATTTGCTTTAAGTGTTAACTTGGTCATAACTTTACTCCTTTCATTTTGATCTCGCCAAAACTGACATGTAACCAAAAGTTTCGATGCTCGTTTTCTGGTAGAATTAGTGCTTCTGTTGAAAGCAATTTTGAGTGATGGCAAAACTATTTCAATACGTGCAGCATGTTCTAGGACAGTAGTTTTCAACTGGGGATTCCTGTCATCTACATATAGCTTTATTAATATACAGGTGACTCGGACCAGGCCTACTAGATCTCGTTATTGATCGTCTTTATATATCCCTACCACATACGGTAAGAATATGCTTAGCATTCATGGTATATTGCATGGTACACATGCTTTGGCTATTTGCAGTATCGTATGTCTCTAGAAAATTAACATTTTCCTATATTCATCCATTTTTTCAAATAAAATATAATTGTTGCTGTCTTTTTTGTAAATAGCCTTTGTGATTATGTATGTAGATATTTTTCTAAAACTTTCTTGGATTAACTTTTTATTTTTTTTGCATGACACATGGGGGGGAAAAACAAATTTCTTGTCCGGTGCATTAATCTTGTTATAATTCTCATCAAGCCTTTCACATCTGAAAATTACCAGTAATAAATTAACCACCGTCATTTTAGGTCTTTTGTCATCCATGGATATATTCCTTAGCTTGTTGAATTTGATGCTTCCCTAAAAGCTTTTGCAATCAGCTACAGGCCAGTATGGTTCCTCTTCCATGTAGAATGGCTGCTCAGAGCCCCACAGAAAAAGATTACTTGCCATGTGCTTAGGGGCACAGGCTTCTAATAGCATCACTTAAAGAACTTTAAGACCATACCAGGGGACTAAGTCAGGATTTCCACAACTGCAGTCAAGGGGCAGATGGGTTCATAGACTACTATCCCCAGATCCAGTGGAACAAGAATCAATTACACAGGACTGAATGAATTGACAAGGGAAGATGGTTGTTTTTGTTTGGAATACTGTTGATGTCACCTTCATGTTCTATATTCTGCATATATAAGGAAGCCCTCTGTCTTTCCTCTTAAGCTTCTTATAAACCACAACAATGCAATACACTCTGCTTTTATAAGTTGAAAGGAAATGTTTGTACATGATATTCTCTCTGCCGGACCCCTCCAGAATTTAACAATGCTTATTGAGTCTTTTTGCTATTCATGGCAATACAGTAATTTGCCTGGCTCAATAAGAATCTGTGTTCCTTATAACCAGGGCATAACTGGAAACTGGTTATGCAACCAAGGTCTTGACTGGAGTGTGGGGTGAAGAATGGCGCTCATTTAATCAGATGTGACCAGATGCTTGTGAAGAACGAAGGTGGACTTTATGGCCACAAAGCGTACTGACAAAGCCTCTTGGGAAACTGGCCTGCTACTTGGTCTAGTATAACCCGCCCAAGACAAGAAAAGTTGTCAAAAGCGTAATGCTGCTGACAGTGCTTACTCTCATTTCATAAGCATACATTTCTACATAATTGTCCAATGTCTATTTTTAGCCTTAGCACAAGATTAATTTCCTTGCTGACTTCTCCACAATGTTGTTTACTACAAAAGGACACGCTGACAATTGATGATTTACGGAGATGCTGTAATATCACCTCCATAAATCATCAGGTCTGTCTTCCCAAAGGAAACCTGAAGGACTTTCCCGTGTGCTCACATAAACACCTGTGAACACTGACAGCACCAGAGGCTCTAGCCGGGCTGTGCTGCTAATTGTTGGGCGAGCCTTGTGCCAATCACCTCAGCTCCTTGGGCCTCAAGCGCCTCCTCTGGGAAGAGAAGAATCGGGACTGGCTGGCCTCCAGGGTCTCTCTAGGCCGGTTTTCTCACCCATGGCCTTCCCTCTCTTCCACTTAGTGAAAGAGAATGCCATGCAATGTGACGGTTCCTAATCACAAACCAGGGCGGGATCTAAAACCCGAGATTCAATATTTTTAAATGGGAGCAGATGAAATGGAGCAGAAGCTGAAATAGATGTACATATTTTAGTACGGATACATCTCAAAACAATGTTGTTGTTTTTAAAAAGCAAGTTGCAGAACATTCCAAAAAATATGATACCAATTTGGCATTCAAAATATAGAAGAACATATGTATTGCTGGTGGAGATAAACATATAGTTTTATAAATAGATGTGTCTGTGTGTTTTTTTAATTCATGGTATTTAATTCATGGTATTTTTTTTTAAATATTTTATTGATTTTTTTACAGAGAGGAAGGGAGAGGGACAGAGAGTCAGAGACATCGATGAGAGAGAAACACTGATCAGCTGCCTCCTGCACACCCCCCACTGGGGATGTGCCCACAACCAAGGTACACGCCCCCGACCGGAATCGAACCCGGGACCCTTCAGTCCGCAGGCCGACGCTCTATCCACTGAGCCAAACCAGTTACGGCAAATTCATGGTATTTTTTTAATTCACGGGAGGGAAACAGGGATGGGAGAGAAACAGACTGGGCTCATAATTTCTCTGTAATGACTGCCTCCCCCTCCAAATGAACAGGTCTATTCTCTACAGAAGGAGGCCAGGCAAGGGCCCAGCACAAATATGAAGAAAAGGCCTATTCCAAGCACCTCGTTAGACAACTTCAAGATGAAAAAGAGGATCCTGAAACCTCCCAGAAACGAGAACAAACGCAGGCGCAGATAAATGGTCAAGAGACAGACTGGCGTCAGGCCTCTGAGCGGCAACTCTGGGACTAGAGAACACAGAGCAGCCAGCGCCTTCTCAATTCCGAGGCCAAATGACATCCACCCAGAATTCTGCACCTGAGCAGCCGCTGGAGAAAACGTTAAACCCGCAGGGTTGGGGCAGGGCCGGTTGGCTTTTGCAATAACCCTTGTAGCACTATTTGACCTTCCCAATATTATACACGCATTAGCTTGCTAAGAAAACTAATTTTTAATATTCAAAACAGTCTTTTCATAGGGAAATAAAAATACACATTGTGCTACAAAGGTGATGGAAATTCACACCACATTCCCTCTCCATAGCACAATAAAATCAGAAACAGCCCTGACTGGTCCTGTCAGACACAGAGCCGCAGGGCAATCAGGGGATTGGGGAGCTCCCCCCTATCAGGCACAGAGGAGGGCTGATCAGGGGGTTGGGGTGCCTTCCCCTGTCACGAACAGAGTAGGGCGGATAGGGAGGTTGTGGCCCCGCCCCCTGTCACACACAGAGCCGCAGGGCGATCAGGGGGTTTGGGCGCTGCCCCCTGTCACGCTGATCCCGGTGCCGGGAGCCTCGCTGCTCCGCTGATCCCGGTGCTGGGAGGCATATTACCCTTTTACTATATAGGATAGAGGCCTGGTGCATGGGTAGGGGCTGGCTGGTTTGCCCTGAAGGGTGTCCTGGATCAGGGTGGGGGTCCCCACTGGGGTGCCTGGCCAGCCTGGATGAGGGGATGATGGCTGTTTGCAGCTGGTCACACACCCTTCAGGGTGGGGGTCCCCACTGAGGTGCCTTGCCAGTCTGGGTGAGGGGCTGAGGGCTGTTTTCCGGCTGGCGAGTGACTAAAGCTTCCAACCGCTCCTTGTTTTCTTCTCTTTT